CCTGTGCTTGCCTAACTCAGAATCCGGCTGCAGGAAATGTTGCTTCCTGGGAGGAGGGAACACTCCAGAATGGACTAGGCAACCGCAGCTCATGCTCCAGCTGGTCCATCAACCATCCCGATGTGTTGGCCTAGTCTGTATTTTACAGGTACAAAATGCCACAGGTGTAGCCACATGGCCAAGAGAGGCAGTACACAGTCCTCAATCATTGGCTTTTCCCCTGAAAGCAATGGGAGAGGCCATGCAGTCAGTTATTATCTGTGGCCCAAAACCTCCCCACTGGCTGTGCAAAATCAGTGCATGGGTATATGTCTCTCACAGCTACCTTATCCTCTGTATGCAAGGGAAGAGCTCTTGGGTGTCTTGCTACACCATCCTTATTACCTGCAACCTTAAGCCACGTTCCAGCTGACCAGGGAAGTGAATTGATAAAGGACTTTCAGCAAAAAGGTTCCTTCTCCTCTAACCCTGCTTGCCTGTACAGGTATGTCCACACACACCTCCTTTCACATGCACATGCACACACGCACACACACACACACACGCACGCACACACACACGTGTTTGTAGGAGCAGGGCCCAATGCAAAACCATCAAAAAATGCCAGTATTAACTTCGGCTAAATTACATCTTGTCTCAAATCAGGTTACATTTGAGAAGCAAGAATGCTGTGTATTGATCACCCAGTAATAAGTAATTTCTGCACTATCTAAACAAAATGTGAAAGTCAGAATTATGTATTTACTGGTTTTCTGATAAAACAAGAGAAGAATAAACTTCTTACTTCACCAAAGCTTCATCCTCTGCCTCCGGAGTACATAATTTCAAAATCCTGAGTTAGTGGGAAGATCAGACTTGGGTCCCCAGCACAAACTGGCTGTAATTTTAATCTTTTCCATTCCTCTGAGGAATTGTGTAAGCATGAGCTCTGTATGTAGCCCATCACATGTAAAATATGATGCCTATGGTCCAGAATGTGGGTCAGATACCTTAAGTTACACTGCAATAAATACTGCTAGTAAAATGCTCAAGTGTAGTTTTAGGGGGTGGATCTCCTCTAACACTAGCTTTACATTTAAAGGTGTGTTTGGAAGTGGTCTGGATGAAGAGGAAAGCAAATGAGGTTTGAAGAATTTCACAGAGGAGATGATAGAAGCATTAGTGTTGAACTTAAAAGCTGTGTATTCTCAATCAGAAGCTTTGTTCACATTTAAACAGTTTGATCATAATTTTCATTTCACTCCATCACAGGTACTTCAGAAGGTTACTTGCTCCATATACCTTGCTCTGCAGGGTAAGAGAGAGTGTAGGCGAGTCAAACAGTTTAAACCCCTGTGAATCTGTAATTCGATGTCACTATCTCGTCACACCATGCTGTATGTATAAATAAACAAAAATCCCAGCCCAGTTTCACAAAATATCAGAACTTCACGAGACAAGTGCCACTAGAGGGGGCTGGTTGTACGCAGCTCAGGTGGGTTTCTGTGCTGCAGCGTAGGGAGGGTACAGGAATGGCTGGGACACCACCTTCTGGGCAAACACACCTCGCTGTGGCCGTAGCCACATAAACTGTAAATCCTGCCCGGAACCGGGGGAAGAACGCAGACTGCTGAGCTCAACAAAGCTGTATTGCTGCGTTCGTGCTGCTCTCTGTTCCAAAGGTGCGTCTGCAGAGCCACCCCAAGCTGGGATGAGCACAGGTTCATCCCCCGGGAAGCAATGCCCACACTCCCAGCAGTTTTAGTGGCTGCGGAACACAACTGCGCTGTGTGTTTGCATCCAGCTCTGGCACCTCATTCTCACTTCTCCAAGCTTGCCCACTTCTATTCCTATATTCCCTTGACTCCTTTTATTATTCATGTTTTCTGAAAGATACACTGAATGCCAACTCTCTCTGCTGCTGCCAGGTTAGCAATGCAAAGTACATCCCTCTGCCCCTGGAGCCTGGCAGATAGGCTGAGAATCTGGGCCAGAAATCCTAAATGCATTTGTAGCTCTTTCAGTCTGAAAACACTTCCTATTAATTAGTTCTGGGAACAAATTGCTTAAAGTTATCCTTAGATGTTCCTAGCAGCTAGCTCAATATTAGGGAACATTTTTTCTTTGGAAGACATGGAGGAATGGTCTTCCATGTCTGGCACAGCCCAGCTCTCACTTGGAAGCCAGAGAGTAAAGGAGTGCTGCACTTGAGATGCTGCTGCTGCTACTACTACTACTACTACTATAAATTTGCATGGAAGACAATGTAACTGCAGCTCACAGCTCCTCCTCTGCCAGACAGCTTTGAGCCCAGAGCACAGGAGGTCACATGTATCCATGTTTATCTATGCCTGCATCTTGCCTTGCAGAAGCACCTACAGTACTCTCCAGTGTCAGAGTTCATTTTCCTCACCATAAGCAGCCAGGAACAGGTGAGGGAAAGCCAAAGGTTGCTGTTAATTTTGCTGGGCATCTTGCTAGTTCGTGGATTATTTTTGAATTTCAGCCATGGGCTCTACAGTGTGCACAAATCTTCTGGAATATATCAGTCCCAAACAACTTTGAAGAAAAAGAAAAATCTCTCTTCCTTCTTAACCATGGACCTTTTCCTTTCCTGCTCCTCTCAAAATGATGGAGTGGTTGTTCAGACTACCTGCTCCATGGTAGGCAGTGAAACTGCTGTGGTGTCTAGATGAATTTTCTCCTCTGTATGTGAAGCTTTAACACTTAGCCAGTGGCAATCTTTACGCAAGTGACACATTGCCCTGTTTTCTGTGTTTGAATAATGCTTATTATCATTTGCATAAACTTCTTCAGATCTTCCCTCTTCACTGTAATGTCCATGAGTTTTGCTTAACCTCTGAATTCCTTCTTTCAGTTCTCTTTCTGCAACATCCATTTCTGCTTCTACATTTAAATGTCTCTAGTTTCACTCCCAGTCCCCATTGATGTCTATTCCCATTTCTGGCATCCTGTACCTGGGTACTTGTACAGAGATTAACTGACCTCAGTTAAAATCCCAGCAGAAATGAGTAGTTGAGTTTTTCACTATGATTAGTATAGCAAATGAAGAAAGAGTCACAAAGTTACTTCCATCCTTCAGCTCCACAGAAACATGATTTCAGATGTATTAACAGAGTGAAGCATAGCAGCATCCCTGGCTTGGCCTTTGTCCACAGGCACCTAAATTCTCCTTGTAGCTGCCTGAGGCACTTGAAAACTCACTGCTGCATGCATAGATGGGTTACTGTTCTGTAGAAAACACATAAGGACAACATTGAGTTCACTTGAGATTGATGAGGAGGAAGGGAGAAAGGAAACTGCCCAACTGAGCAGAGGTTGGAGCACTTACCGGGAGGTGAAAAGCATTCCTTCTGAGACTGAGGCAGTTTCACTACTTATAACTTTGTTGCAGGAGAGCTCACCAGTCATAAGTCTATAGGAATAATATATGCTGTGGAAAGAAGAAGCAGTGGTGGGGAGAGAGAGAGGGGGGGCTACTCCAGCTACATAGCTGTCATCAGGCATGCAATATTCATAGGGCTGGAGCAAGAAGTGAGCAGAAGGCACCTGCCTTTGCGGCTCAATGCTCACAGAAGCAGGAGGCCTGTGTGTTGGGCTCTGTCCTTGATGCTACTGATGCAATTTATCCAGCAATTATTTTGTGACAAATGCTGTGTTTCTGTCACTGGGGCACAGGTGTCCATCTGCCCATAGGAGTGCTTGGATACAAAGAAGACCTGTGTCAATAGTTTTTCATCTCTCCCTCAGCATTTTCCTCCTCTGCCTCACAGTCTCACCTGCCTTTATAGTGCTGTATATACAACATCTGTGAAAAGCTGTTTGCAGACTTTCCATCCTCAAGTCAAACAATATGGAGTGGCTCTTAAGACACACAACAAATCCAAGGCACTTCCAAATGAAGGTTGTGAAAACACCAGGCTTGGGACAGTCCCACAGGGCCATACTGGAAAGTCCCCTTCTCCTGTTCTGTCCAGGTTGTAGTTGTGGGTATTCCACAACCAGGGAAATCTCAGGCACTGGCTTCAGTGCATCAGGGTCCAAAGTCTATTACAGATCTGTGATAAAAATCCTTCAATATAGGAAATGTTTGCTTTGGAATAGGCAAAAGTACAATGTTTGTTACAGAGATGAGAACAAAAACTCTTCAACTGTAGCTGTGAAAAAATGCTGAATTTTTGTAATTTAACCAAAAAATATGAAAATCTGCCACACTTAATAATTCTGTTATCTGTCTTGTTAAATGAATTAAAATAAAATCAGGGGTTGCAGTTTTTATTTTTTAAAATTGAGTTTCGCTGTGTTTGTATATTGTATCACCAGTAATTGTACTATGTGGGAAACAGTACGAAGCATCAACTAAGCACTTATTGAGCAGTACTGTGGTTAAGGGGTAACAAGTCAGAAACTGGAGCTCTGATTCCAGTTTTGTTGCAGACTGTCTTTGTCATCAAGTCACTTAGGCAGTGGGGTTTCATTTGTTTGGGGATTTTGTGTTTAAAAAAAACATGAGGCATTTCAGATTTGGGGACCACCACTCACTAAAAATACGTTTTATTTTCCATAGCAAAAAAGAAATGTATTTACAAGAAATACCAAGATTTATTTACAAGACCTTCTATAGCTTGCAAAAATGTTGTGGTTTTAACAAATAGGTCCTATATGTAATTTGTAGTCCAGGAATAAATTTATTCTTTTTTTTTTTTTTTAAAGCAATGTCAAGTCTTATGATGTAAAATGGCATAATGCTAGCAGAGAGAAAGAATTTGATCCCTCTCCGGGTAACACTGGAGGAAGCACAGGGTCAGCACGTAACTTCATTGATTTTACATAGGGCTGAGTCTGCCTTTCATTCTGACACAACTACATACTCTTTGATATGAAACAGGCCATTCAGGGCTGAAAGTACTGATCTCATCACTCCAGCTGAGTCTTAGGTTGTCCAACAGAGTAACGTAACATAACATGAGATCTCCTATATCTTGACTATTTTATCCTGTTCAGAGTTCCTCTGCTGCAATTCGGATCACTTTCCACAAAGTACTGGACATGAGGTTTCTGTGGAATAATGATGGGTAAGCATGGAAACAAAGGGGAAGTCTTCCAACTTGAAGTATGTTCCTGTAATGTCAGATGAGCCAAAGTGCTTTGCCATACCAAGGTCTACTGCAGCAATCACAGACAGTAAAACTACATTGGGGAAGAAACTGGGACAAAAACTTCGCATCATCCTTTTAAGATTATATCCACAGCTGCAGCAACTCAACCTCCTCACTCATAAATGCAGATTAAAGAAATTAGCTGGCCTCAAAATTACTGTGGTTCATCACTGGAGAAGGTGCTTAAACTTCTTCAGCTCCACTTTAGCAGAGGCCCACACCATTGCAAAGAAGTAATTACTCTAGTCTTAATGCACAGTCTGCGTGGCTCCCATGGGGAAGAAGCAGACAGATACATCAAAAATAGAAAGATGAACTGTACAGTGGAATGAGGTGAAGGCAGAGGGAAGAAAATGATTCTGCAATTCCCAGAAATGGAGCTGATATAATTTTTGTCTCAGACAGGAGCTTCAGGTCAATCGCCCTTCCAAACAGATTGGTTTGATGCATAACCACAACATGAAGCTGGAGGACAGGTGGCGGTGTAAAGTCCTAGGAACCATAGATACAAGAAAATATTTGCATGCCTAATGAATCTCCCTTAAAAGTAATTTCACATTCATTCAGCTACACTCAGAATCTGAACTGAGCATAGCTGGCTGGAAACCATGATGTACCCCATATAATATAATAGCAGGCTTTGATCAACATTAATTTCATGTGAAAGAGTTGACCAGTTATGAACTTCCACTCTCCAAATACTTGTACAGTTACTGATTAGGGGCCATCTATGAATATTTCTTGCTCACGATATTCCTTAGGGGAGGGAGCAAGGAAACGGGACGTACTACTGTATTACTCATCCAATTTTTTTACTGTCTTCTGTGTTCTGTAGATATCTTTCCTTCAGATTATTTCTGGAGAAGCAAAGGGCAGCCAGACAAGTGAGCTTCTGAAGCTAATTCTGAATCTCTTCTTTCAGAACAAGGGATGTATGAAGTTATTTTCCATTCTGAGGATTTTAGTGGAAGATTCAAAATCCCAGATGGCAAAGCAGAGAGCTGGTTCTCTTCAGTGTTCAGACATTACAGTTTTTCAGTAGTTTTAGGGACCACTAGGCATTTACAGGCTCTTCACACTACATCCACAGTCAACTTGACCACAGTTATATAATGTCCTAAGTCCCGTTTGATGAATTAATAAACCAAGCTGGTATGTATATAAAAAATGCTATGTGTTTCTCACAGGGCACTTTACATTCTAGACACAACTGTACGTACAAGGCTTTTCTAATGATAATTTAAATACCTGGGTTATCTAGAGGGACAGGGGTGTGTGTATCTGAATGCATTAGACCTGTGCAGAGACAACATCAACACTAAGGTCAACAAAGAGCAACACTATCTCGTGCATGGATAATTCCTTTTCTACAGTTTCTATTTGGTGGGTTCCCATTTTAATTCTTATCTCACCAGCACTTCGCACTGTTTGAAAATAACTACACATGGTTTAGAAATACAGTTTCTCTTTCCTTTTGATACAAATCAGGAGTATGTGGACATGTATGGCTCAAATGAGGGAATTATCATGTTTTGCATGGGGATATTCAACTTACAGCTATCAACAAGATGCTTGCAAAAAGTGGCTGGCTCTACACTACCCACAGATATTTCTGATGTGCAATTATCATCTACTGTTTTTGTTTAAATGAGACCTTCACATAGGACGGGATTAAGAAGAGGGAGGGAGAGTGAATCTTCCCAATGTATTCAGTGACACAATTAATATCCAAGTGTGGTCCACAATATTTTGATGTACGGATCTATTTTCATTTTATGTTGTTTATATACATGAGGTTCTTGATGTCATTAGGAATGAAGCTAATGTCATTATAGGCAGCATCCAGACACTAGAGATTTTCTAATAAAAACAACCTAAAAGAAAGAAAACAGAATGATGAATTAGAAACACAACAGAGAATTGTAGAGTCAGAATAATTTAGGCTGAAGGGGACCTCTGGAGATCATCTAGTCCAGCTCTGCAGCTCAGGTCACAAAAGGAGTAGTGAAGATTTTCGAAAAAGGGGTTTGACTGGTAGAAGGACCTTAATTTAAGTCACTTTTCTAATTTTTATGGTCTTATATAATTGGGTGCACACAGATGATGAGTCAGAAAGGTGGAGGGGGAGGATCGCATTTTTTAAAAGTTTGAAAAATACTGGTTTATCTCCTTAGGTCAAGAGCCCTGAGGGAGACAACTGAAGGTCTAAACCGGTGCTACTCTGAGACAGGGTTTGGAGAAGATGACCTCCAAAACTCCCTTCCAGCCTGCATCTACAACTCTAAGTCATCCAAGGATAACCTTTACCCAGGCTGACACAGTCCTGGGCCTGATCAGGGGAAACCATCGTAAGAAATTTCTTCCTTATATCTAATCTAAATCTGCCTTCTTTTAGTTTGAAACCATTACCACTTGTGCTATTGCAACAGGCCCTGCTAAAAAGTTTGTTCCCATCTTTCCTGTAAGACCCTTGATGTACTGGAAGGCTATAAACTATAAGGTCTCCCCGGAGCCTTCTCTTCTCCAGGATGAACAATCCCAACTCTCTCAGCTGTTCCTTATAGGAGAGATGTTCCATTTCTCTGATCATCTTCATAGCCTCCTCTGGACCTGCTCCAGGCCTGTGTCCTTCTTATTTTGGGCGTGACCAAAGCTGGACTCAGTACTCCACTTGGGGTCTTAGGAGAGTGGACTTCGAGGGGCAGAATCACCTCCCTCAACTTGCTTTCCATGATGCTTTTGATGCAGTCCAGGATACAGCTGGCTTTCTGGGCTGCCAGCATATATTGCTGGGTCATGTTCAGTCTCTAATTCACCAGTACCCACTCAGCTCATCCACCAGTGTTCTCTCTGCTTTCATGCATAAGTATTATTCTGCAAGGTAGGAATTTTTTTTGGATTAGAGAGTCTAAAATAAAGTGAGGACACTTCTTGAAGCCTATAGTGTGTACAATAACATACAAGAGGGTAGAGGATGACAAGCCCTAAATCATTCAATTAATATGGAAAAAGGGGACAAGTCATGTGCAATCTTGTCTGTTCTCCTTTGTAGGCTGGGCATCTGCATGAACCACCCACAGCACTACAGTAGAGTTTTTTTTTAGAGGAAGCTGTTTGCTCCCACCAAGAAAAACTGGAGATGAATGAATACTTTTGCAATGTAGATGATGAGGGAACCAATATGAAATAGAGCACAGACACTGACACACAAGCTCTACACCTGCAGTCATTGAGAGCAGCAAGGTCATGTCTCTCTTGTCAGTGCCTTGGTTCAGGCTTTCCTAATTGTGTGATGAAATAAGTGGCCCAGTTCTGTGGTTGTCTCTAAACTCTGTCATTTTTGGCTTGCATTTTCTTTTTATCCCACTCTCCCACGTTGTTCCAACTGTGTTAGACTTCCCTCTGTAACCTTCTGAAGGCATATTGAATATATTCACTCAAGAAGCCTAGTCAAATTCGGGACTATAGTCATCCCCTAGAGAGGATCCAAACCATCCAAACATGCAATCCAAAACATCTCCAGAGCCCAGGCAGAGAAATTATTTTTCAGTTTGTTGCTCTTTTATTAAATTCTTTCTTTCATTTCTAACCTAGGAAATTTTATACAAACTCTGATAGGAGAGCACTGCTTATGCATATTAAAATTATTATTATTATTATTACATACACTGTCTCAAACTAGGTAGATGCTGAGATAATATTTAACTATTGTCACATATCATTTCAAATGCATGTTAGTGTATATAATCTGGCATCTAGTTCTGTGTAAACCAGACAATCCTTTTCATGACAGATATACAATAAAGTATACCAATATAACATACATTACTTATTAATACCTCTAGTAATATCAAATCTAAATCTAAGTGTTCCAATAAAATTTAAGTTATAATAAGTAGGTAGATGAATGCAAACAATCAAGATTAATATAATGAAAGAGAATTTATATACTTCATTGGAGTTTAGAATTTTCTTAGATTCCTGGCATCCATTTTGCAGGAAAAGCAATGCTTCAGTGCTGAAGTACCAGGTAGTAACAGATGACTATAGTCAGAGTAAGACAGCAATGTCTATATTTCATGAAAATTAAAAATCCAAATGAAAATCTTTCTTTGTGTATACTACAATCTACATGTGATTCGAAAGATGAAAACCATTGCCTGCAAAAATGAAAATCCCATGCAGACACACAGGTGATGGTAGCTGTGAAACAGTCAAGAGATGTAGTATGAACAAGACAGTTTGGGGAAAAACTGATCTCTAGGTCCCAAGTGGAAATGTTGTGTCACTTCTTGTAGCAGAAAATTGCTTTTAGCCTTCAGGTATATCCTTTAAAGATGCATTACTCATGTTGTGTTTAAGAGTCAATAGCAGCTTTCATTCAAAGGATCTTTTGGAACTGTAACCTTGAAAAATCATCTTGTAGTTCTTAGGCTGTCACTGCATGAAATAGAAGTGCTTAGAATTATTTAAAACTAAATATTAATGATTTAAAACTTAATATTATTGTAGCTGTGGGATAACTGATTTACATGCTTTTTTCTGTAGTACCCTTGCCTTAAGTTCTCCATTGTTTATTTCTCCTTGCTTTTGTCTCACCTTCTTTTGCCATTTCCTTTGTACCTTTACTGTGTCTCATCTTCTTCCTGATGCATTCTGGATAATTTTCATGTCACTTGCTCAGCACTACACCTATTGTGAAAGTGGAATTTCACCAGGCGTTTATGCCTGGTGAAGACCAAATATGCAGGGTTGTTATTCTTATAACTAGACCTGGGAACTATCTATCATCATTCTGCTCCATTTTCACTGTCAGGAAACTGGCTTCAGAGAGAATCAAACCTCTCCTTAGGTCAGGCAAACCTGTAGCTTTGGTCTGGAACAGTGTTTGTCCATGGTTACTACCCTGATTAAGGAGATAGGCATATCTGTGTTGGAAACATACAAGGCAAGAACAAACGTGGACAGTTTGTGTATTGCCAGGCTGCAACTGAGTCTGAAGAAATAGTTCTTTGAGCTGGATTTGTGTTTGACTGTGGTAAATCTGACAAACAGACTGGTGCGTATCTTTAGGCTGGATTTTCAAGGGACTGTGGAATATGTGCTCATTGCTGCAGGAAGCATCTGTCTGCTTGACTTGCCCTTGAGCACTGCCAGACTCTTCTATTTTCATAATTTGTGCCCTTTATTGCCCTAGTTAGATACTGTCCAAAAATCCCTCCTGCTGAAAACAAGAGGAAAAAAGACGTTTATAATGAGGCATGCTCTGGCATCGTTTTTGAGGAAAAGATTGTGTTACAAATTCTCCATGCCCTATATGGATTTTTCTTGTTCAGAGAAAATGCACCAGCAATTAAGACTAAGCATCTCAGTGCTGCCAATTGCAAAATACGTTAGTCTTTTTTTTTTCAACTCAAATGCAGTTCACTACACACTGTTTTGAATTATGTGAAGTATGCAGTAGAAGAGCTGGATAGTAGAAGAGCAGGACAGAAAGGGCAGGTTTTCAGAGACGCCTTGTGAGTTTAATGAAGAATGAATGAGCAGTGTTTGTTCTACTATGTGTGAAATACAGCCATTTGTATCACTGACAAGTCCCTCTTTAGGGATCTTCAATCCATTTGCAAGGAGCCATGTGCCAATGCAATGTGATCTTTCACCTGAGAAGTAGGTGAGGCTCTTTCAGTGATTGTTGCCCTGTGTGCTCTATAGTGTTCCCTGTATCACTTAAACCTCATGCTAATCCTACCGAATGGGAAAGGCAACTTGGGCAGATTCCGTATGAAAAAAGCACCATGGAAGGGGTGTGTTTGAAGTACAATGACAAAAGTGAAGTCAGTTGTGGTCAGACTGTGAAAGGAACAAGGAAATCAGCTTATAAAAATTGTCTCAACAGTGACTGTAGGATCAGGCACTTCACAGAATTTCAGTCACAGGCAGCTTCACAGAATTTCTGATGCCTTCTATAGGTGTTGCTTGTGTGACTGTGGTCATGGGGTGGGTAATGGGTCACACTGTCAGACGTGCCTTAAATCTATAAAGAATTGATGAGGCTGATTGTGACAAAGATGCCCTGGGCCCCTAGCTTACCTTGAACCTGGGTCAAGCAAGGGCTAACAATGGGACAATATCTGGAGTAAAGCAGAGGCCTCACAGACTGATGTTGTTGCAGTGAGACACAAAGAGCACTCACACCACTGTACCGTCCATTGGCCTCACTCTTCCTTCACTGTGTGTTACAAGCCTTGTTTCAGATCTGGTCTGTTAAGGAGACAAGGATGCATGCACAGATTCTCTGGTGAAGCTCAGACAGCCTTTACTGTCATGTCAGCATGTGGAGGATGATCAAAGTGTTTATTCTACCTCTTGTGTTGACTGTAAATTCTGACCAAAATTAACCAAGACCCTCATTAAGCCAAATTTGCGTATAAACTTTCCCCCCTCTAAGAATGCAAATGAAAAGTTAACAGGCCTTACATGTATGACCACAGTCATCAAAACCCCACTTATAGAAAGTGTTTGTTCTACCTTGTCAAGAAAGGGTAAAATTATATTATGAGACAAGGGGAGTTTTGTGACTAAAAAAAAAAAAGGAGAAAAGAGGAGAAGAACATCTGCCTGCTCTGGATTGGTCAATGGACAGTGTTTCTCCTCCCTGAAGGGATGCTGAGGTGAGCTTTGCACCTTCAACTGTGTTGGAGCAGATATATTATACATGTATTTAGTATATATAGGTTGCTAATAGACCTCTGTTACTATACCTTCAGTAGCGACAAATATTAACACTCAGTGCATTTACCACCAACAATTCTGAACCTGCTTTCCTGTTGCTTCAATAAACTGCCCTATTTTTGAATCTGGATCATACAAGTTCTTATTGAATTTGACCAGGCTGGTAGTGCTAAATTTGCTATAATCAGAAATTAAGCCCAGCCACACCGAGCCCCTCTGATCTTTGAGGACCAGCTGGAGTTCAAGGGGCTTTATTTTCTGCTAGATTTTTATATCCTTAATGCAACAGTTGGCACTGAGCCCTAGTGTCCTACACCACTGTGGTGGGTTGACCCTGGCTGTATGCCAGGTGCCCACCAAAACTGCTCTGCCATTCCCCTGAGCTAGACAGGGAGGCAAAGTATAATGACACTCTTGTGGGTTGAGATAAGGACAGGGAGAGATCATTCACCAGTTAGCATCATGGGGAAAACAGATTCGACCTGGGGAAATTACCCGAATTTATTACCAATTGAATCAGAGTAGAGTAATGAGAACTAAAGCAAAATCTTAAAACATCTTCCCCTTACACTTGCCTTTCTGGGCTTAACTTGACTTGTCATCCCCCTCAGTGACGCAGGAGGATGGAGAATGGGGATTGTGGTCAGTTGGCACATTGTCTCTGATGCTCCTTCCTCCTTGGGTCTCTTTGCACTCTTCCCCTGCTCCAGCGTGGGTCTCTCCCATGGGAGTTCTCCACACACACCTCTGACATGAGAACTTCCCATAGGCTGCAGGAGCACAGCTGTCTCACCATGGTCTTCACCACAGGCTGTAGGGGAATCTGTGTTCCAGCACCTGGATCACCTCCTCCTCCTCCTTCTTCACTGACCTTGGTGTCTGCAGGGCTGTTTCTCTCAGGTATTCTCAGTCATTTCATCTCTGGATAAGATTGCTTCTGTGCAATAACATTTTTTCCTTTCTTAAATCTCCTATCCCACAGGTGCTACCACTATAGCTGACGGGCTCAGCTCTGGCCATTGGCAGGTCCATCCTGGAGCCAGCTGGCATTGACTCTGTTGGACATAGGGGAGGCTTCTGGCAGCTTCTCACAGAAGACACCCTTCCTACCAAAACTGTGCCACGGAAACTAAATGTATCAAAGGTTCATTTCATACACCTCACATTAAAATTGGATTTTGGATACTTCTATCAGGGCTAGCTCCAAAGACCTCATTCTGGAGGACCATTGATTCCTTAGCTGGTCCCCAGAACAGTACTGCAGCCAGCAGTCAGTTAGTTCTGAACATTTTTATCAACAAAAAAATTCTTAGTATATTATCCTTCATTCAGCCTGTTTAATTCCACAAGGTTTGTGCTCTGTACCTTTTGCTAGGGAGATTTGTTTCCAGGGTCCTTCTGAGGGAGAAGTCACTCTTTATAGCTCTCTGCTACAACTCAGTTCTCAAAGAAAGCTGGGGCTATTGGCTTGCCTCCTTGGTTTTCTTGACCCACCCCAGTGACTGACAGCTTTCAACCTTCAGCTGGGCACAGTCCACCCCCACGACATTTCTGCTGCCTTTTCAATCAACTTCATTTCGTAACATCCTCACTTTCTACACTCCCCTGTGAGGAAAAGACACTTAGACCACATGACATTATTTTTTTTTTCTAGCCCAGGGCTTCTGCTCTTATGTTTCAGTCTCACACTTCATGAAGCACAAAACAATTCCATCCACCAAAATGATGGAATTGCCGTTGATAAAGTGTTGCTTACTGATCAATGGGCATGCTGCTGTATAAATATCTTTCAGGTCTGATAGTCACATTTGGAGAAAATGATCCTTAAACAAACTTTAAAGTGAGCTCTTAGATTTTTGTCATGTTTACTGTACAAATACGCAATCTATAAATAGCATTCATCACTAATAAGTACTAGTGCAACAAGAGCCATCACAACAGAACTTTGTTTCAGGATACAAGGTTTACCTATAATTTTTAAAATTGTTTAAATCATTGAAACACAGCTCTGGTAGTGAGCCAGAAATATTTACATCTGTTTGGGCAGCACCAGACTGGAACTGTATTCTACAGAAGCAGATTTTACCAGCCTTTTAAACTAATATTCAGACGGGCTTAATAGTATCAAAGGAACAATAATTGTATTATCTGACTTTTTAACCTCACTTCTCTTACTGAATTTTCTCTACTATTTTTCATACTGTTATAAAGGTATTACTTTTAATATATTATTGTTATTCTTTCTAATTTAATATTACATAGTGATGATAAGAAATATAGTATGACAGTATTCTAACAAAATGAAAATTCAAATTACCATTTCTCTCAAACATAATAAAAATTATTTAAATTTATTTTGTTTCTCTTTGCCTGTTTTATTGACTATTTGAATATTGAGGAGTTTTAGCTATTTAAATACTTCTATAGAATTACAGAAGCTAAATGGATTAAAAACCAAAACTTGATTTGGTCTCTTTATCTCAGTTCAAAGTGGCAGCATTTTTTTTCATGCTGCAACTTTGTTCTACTGTGCTGATCTGAGAAAAAACATTGTAAGTTTTCTGTATGCTGTTCTTCTGCAGCAGATTCTGGGGCTTGATGATGTTGACAGAAGTCAGTGAAACTGTGCATATGCTAGAGTTCTTTTCTACAGATCTGTTTTAAGGAGTGGTGCCTAGTTTCCGTCTTGTTTTTGTATTACTTAGGTTAAAAATGTTTTGATTACAGATCATGTTATTGTTTTGCACATTTATTTTTAAAGGTTAGTCCTTAAATATTTAATCAATAGATACTTTATATAAACTGGAAAGATCTTTTCATTCACATATATAGGCACACAAATGGCCTGGTTATTTCTGAAGCGTACTGCATGGCAAGTCCTTTGTTTTAATTAGAAACCCCTGATGAGTGTAAAATAATATAAGCCAAAATTTGTCTTTTCACAGGGATGTATATTCTGAGAAGAGCAGGACCATCTGCCCAAACATAATTTTTTTCATTTTTTCTGAATCCGGGTTGTATCTCACTTCCCCTGTGGTCTGACTCCACGTGATCTAATTTAATTTTTCTTGATGCCAGCAGTTTTCCATGTTATCTCTCATATTTTTTGATGAGCTAGGGGGAATGCCTCTGTTATCCAGTGGGTAGTATTCAAATCTGATAGGTGGAAGACTCAGCTTCCAGGACCTACCCAGAAGACTCTTTCCCTGTTTAAAAGAAGAGCATCCCAAAAAGATGCAGGTCATGTGGGTCATACTGCAGTCTCATTCACACTGCTTTGCACTAGTAACTTAACTGCCAATCTGTCTTCTTCTATGTTAATTTTAGAGAACACATGGAATTTTTACCCATGCACTTCAGGAACTGTCTTTGTGCAGTTTACCTTTCTCAACATTCTCCCTTGGCATAAACAGTTTAGACAGTAGCTTAGGAGGCAGGTCTGTGAAATGGTTTTGGTTGCTCAACCATTTCCTGCTTACCCTTTGTTCCTGATGGATGATTGAAGATATTTCAAAAATCAGAAAAAATCTTACAGTGCAAAACAAAAGAAATAATCATCTCTAGTTTAAGGTGCTGAGCTATAAATGTCTGCTTAAATAAATCAGATTATTAAAGTCACAAAACATAAGAAGTGGCCAAAAAGGGCATTGGTTCTCTTACTGACTGATTCAACAGTTTTCCTATTTTATCATTACTGTTTCAGGAAATAAAACAGTGACACACACACGAACACAAAAAAGGCCTATTCTATTGACTTCAAATGCTTTCGTTAAAGAATGTTTTTCAGCACTTGGGATGGTCCTGTGCAGCACCATGAGTTGGATTTTGATGATCCTTGTGGGTCCTTCCCAACTCAGGATATTCTATGATTCTAGGATTTTATAATTCTATGACCTCTGTCACAAAAGGTGAGGCAATTAGGGTATTTAATCTCTGAGCCAAAGGAGGAACAGTAAAATACAGAAATGCCTCATGTCAACCATGAAAGCTCTGAAAGTTTCTGAGAAACAGTTTTTTGCTGGATAAATAGATTTAATAAGAGCAACTGTTAACCCTTGTAAAAGGCCGAGTCTGCAAGTAGCAAATTTATACTTCTTTCTAGTTTTCTATTAGTTTATGAATGCATACAATGGCACTGATTTTAATCAAAGACTCCCTGATTTGGTTTCAGAAATCCTCTGAATAGTAGCCAATTTTAGCAAAACTCTGATTCACAGTAGTTTTCAAGATTGTCTACATCCTAAATTGCAGAGATTGTTGGTCATATATTTTTTTCCTTGTAGGGCTAAATACATATAAGACATCACACAGTATAAAGACTCAGTCCTAAAGAACTGGAAATCAGAAAGACAACAGAAAAGGGAAAGCACTGGTGAAAGTGACTGAAGAGAAAATGAAAGTGCCATCAGGAAGCTAATGCTCACAGAAAGATTTACAAAGTTAAGAAAATTGTCACACACAGTTAGAAGTAAGGACATCTCCAGGAAAAATTTTTTTTCAGTAATTTAATTTGAAAGTAGATAAAGTTGAGACTTTGGTGCAATTTTTCATGTGGAAAAGATTAATTTAAATGAAGTGTAGCATTATATAAAACTGTGATGAAAAAAAACTAAGACAGTCCTGAAGCCTATAAGCAGAAATGAATTCAGATTTGAAACTTACCTAGTGGACTTGAACGGCAATTAAACAAGTGGTTGGAGAATGGGAGAAACAGGGGAAGATTGAAAAGGAAGCCTGGAGTTCAACTATAACCATGATGAGCTTGAGTAAATGGGTAAATATTGCAACAAGACAAGATACCACGACACAATGTTAACCAGAGGCTGGGGACAGTAACCTTGCAATAAACTGGAGGTATAGGAGGAAGAATATATAATATATATTATATATATAATATGTATATTATATATAATATATATAAAATATATTATATATTATATATTTTGTATATAATATATATGATATTAAAAAAAAAACCAACCAAACATGAAACAACCCAATAACAGCAACAATAACTGTCCTCCCTCCTCCAATGCACGGCTTCTTAAAAAGCCAAAGAAGCTGAGTTTGAAGAACAGGAACAAAATGCTCTATAAACCATGTTTGTACTTCTCTGGTGATACACTGCATCTTAACTTTCCAGTCTTTTACTCTTCAAGATAAGGGTTCTGGCACCTGCTTCATGGATCATTGCATTCTTGGAAGATACCCCAGGATGTGTCTAGTCCAACCTCCTGCTCACAGCAGGGTTGACTATGAGGTCTGAGCAGACAGCTCAGAGCTGTACCCAAAGGTGAAGACACCACAACCCTTCTGGGCAACCTCTGGGCCTCCTTCCAACATCGATAAAAAACAAGACATAGAGTACACACCTGTTTAGGGCACACATTTAAAGGTAAGTCTTCTTGTTTTCTCTCATTTATAGGTAACCTCTATTGAAACTGGTTGACAGATCAAAGATGTAGAGAAATGTTCACAGACTTGGTTAAGAAGAAATTATCACTGCCTTGAGGAGCAGTGCCTGCAAAATTCCTGGCAGAAGAGCAGATTGGAAAGAAACGAAGGCCTAGGGTGGAAGTGGAGTAAAAGAATTCCTCATAGTGAGTATACACAGCATGTTCGATTGACTCACAGACAGGGAAGGTGGTGAAAGCATAAGAGGAGACCTGAAGTTATGGAGATGAGCAAGACTGATAAAAAGAAAAGCAGGAGTCTCAGTGGGGGGGGAGTGGAGTAAATGCCACACAGACAAGAAACCCTAGTGCTTCTGGAAGTGAAGAAAAGTAGAGTTGTACAAGCTACAGGAGACAGAAAGGAGGATAAAAGCAAGTCAAAGGGAGAGGGAATACAATTTTCTCATGAGATAAAATTGACCATTATATTTGGTGAGTTTCTAGAAAAAAAATAAAAATGAAAGCAGAACACAGAAGTATAAAGGCTGTGGCCGCAAAAATATGGCTGTAGTCACTACTGTAGGTGTAATCTAGTTCAAGGCTCCAGACAGTTGAGCCAGCGAGACTTATCAGTGCTGCAGAAGGGAAGAAGGAAGCTAGTAGTGAGGAAATTCAACCTGGTGAAGGATACAGGAGCAAAGGAAGGGTGTGTCTGTGATGAACCCTGCCAATTCTCCTTGCTGTGCAAGAAGACCAAAGTCAGGGTCTGAAGGCGGGGGAGTGGGAGTGGGAACTGATTCACAACAAACATATCATGAAGAGGGACAGTGGCAAAGAGAGACTTCAGATGTGAATCCAAAGAAACCTGGATAAAGTTGTATTCTACTCTAACCATGGCCAAATATCAGGAACTTTCTGCTGCACAGTATCAAAACCACGTTAACACTGCTGGGGAAGAAGCATCTGTTCTGTGTTTCGGCTTAGAGCAGAACTCGTTACAGAGGTACCCTTAAAATACGTATTTCATTGAGCAATACAGTGACTGTCCAGCGTACCACAAGAGTCCCGGTGGAGGGGCGTGTCCTGGGGCGTGCCCACACGGGGGACGGACGGGGCACGGCGGCGGCGGCGCCGGTGGGAGCGGGCGGAGGGGCTGCGGCAGCGCGCGAGCGCGCCCACCTCCCGCTTGCCGGCATCGCCTGTTGCTGCGCCGCTCCTCGCTGGTAACTATTCTCTGTAATTGTCATTGACAGGTGGAGGAAATGATGATGGTGGATTTATCATCGTCATCATCATCATTATTACAGTTATTGTTGTTGTTGTTATTGTTATTGTTGTTATTGTTATTTTCCACTCTGTGCTTACGGAAAAAAAGATTAAAATTAAAGTCACGATTAAACGGATCCCCCGCCGCCCGCCAGGGAGAGCCCGGGGAGAGAGGACACCAGGCGAGCGGTGACTGTCTCCTCTGCGGGACTAGGGGGAGGGATGCGGGAATCCCGGCAGCGAGCCTTCTCCCTGCGGGACCGAGGGGAGCCGTGCCAGAGTGCCGGCAGTGACCTTTCGAGGTGCGGGACCGGGGGGAGCAGTGTGGGAGTCCCGGCGGTGACTCTTTCCGCTGCGGGGAGCGGTGCAGGAGTGCCGGCGGCGATCCAGCCGGGGATGGCACGGGGCGCGGGGAGCGGTGCGTGACTGAGAACGCGGGCGCGGGTGCGGAGCCGTTCTCGGGAAGGATCGGAGGGGTGGACGCGGTGCTCCCTGCTCCTGGTTTCAAGCTCTGCCCTGCCGCAGCAGTGCCGCTGGCTGTACTGGATGGGGTAGTAGTTGTAAAGCTGGTGCTTCTTCGTGCAAACTGGGTCGAGCTGCGCCAAACCTCTTCAAATTAACCTCGGAAATAGAATTACTTTGAGAAATAGGCCCGACACCGCAGTCCTGATTCGAACAAGCCCCGTTTGATCAAGTGTGATAGAAATCTTCTCTGGAGACAAAGTCTTTTGAGCATGACTTAGAAATATAGGATAGGAGAGGGATTGGAGAGGGCGGGATACTGAAGTGGAGGCAGTTTTAGCATCTCTGGTAGCCGAAAATGTTCTCTTCAGGTTGCATTTAGGGACTGATGAGTAGTCTGCATCTGTGTTACATGAACACCAACCACCCAGAATAGTTTTCTCTGTCAGAAACTGCTTAGCTGATACATTTAATCTTAGTATTTATTTTTAAATTAGTTTTTGTACACAGGATCCCACTAAAGACAACTTCTTTATAACAGTAATAGTTCACAAATTTCTGAAGGACATTTCCTTTGCCTCACTATGGAAATGAAGAAGCTGGTTTGCATGTTGCAGATGACTCTGCTGTTTGTCTCCTGCCTGCAAGGTTAACGTTTCCCTACCAGGCTGGCAGCAATCAATTTCCCTCTCTTTTCTCTGCTTCTCCTCTTCCTTTGCATGTACTTCACTGTGTAAAGTGAGTGGAATAGGCTGAGGCAAAAATTTGGATGTCTTTCCTCAAAAAAAGCTGCGTAAATGAAATTAAAGGTATGGTCGCAACATGCATAATAGATGCCAGAGGGGAATTATTTATGTAACACACCAAAGCATTTACTTTTTTTTTTATGTAATCATCGTTCAAGAATCAATACTGTGTCCGAGTGATTTATTTTATCATTGGCTTTTGTGCTTAGCAGTGCGAGATTCAAAGCAAAATGTCACAGCAAACAAATACATGTTACGTGTTTGCCACATGAAACTGCAGCTTTCCCCCGTTAGGCTGTGAGTTCTTTTAGGCAGGACCACTGGTGTCACCATCTTTGTAATGGTTGTGTCAGCACCATGGTGCAGCCCCTCAGTGTGTGGTGCTCAGGGCTGGCAGGAAACCTTACTGCCCGTCCTAGCATGCCTTTCTGTGGGAGGTGGAATGGGGGTGTTCGTGCTTGCCTTTGTGTTTGGAGTTAGGGTACAGCCAGAGTGAACATCCAAATCTGGGAGCCCAGACACACTCCCAAGTCCCTTGGTCATATGTAGGCGTATGCAGTGAAGATGACACCCTGAGGAAGGCTAGGAGGATACCCACAGG